CTTTCACGCGTGTGCTTTGCATATAAAGTATGAGAACTCCACTTTCGCGATCATATTGAAGCAAAAGAAAGTTTAAAATAAAAAAAAGGATGCGTGTTGTGAAAATAAAAAATGTGTAATAGATATATTAGATGGTCATTAAAAAGTGCAAATTGTTCGATCTGCTAGACTTGTAAAAAGCTTGTACTTCATCAACCAAACCTGACATTATAAATGGTTGTTTGCATTTCTTTCCGGAATATTCTTTATGGATGAATCCATACATTCACAAAATTCAACTAACCAGTTTAAAAAATTTAAACAAGTGAAGAGAAATGAAAATCCTCGAGCCACAGTATTTAAATTATGTTTTTATTAAGTTCTCTAATGACATTGTATTTAGAGAATTTTACACAAATATGAAATATGGTAGAAGAGGAATTTTTTGCTTCTAGAAAGTCATTTCTTGATGGTTATGTGGTATTTTTCAGACAACTAGATACGGAATTAATTACCTTTTAATTTTTCTAAAATACTGTTTTTTTCGAAATAATATTTCATGATTTTATATTTTTGTACTTGAAAATATATTCAAGGCATATGCCTGGTTTAAATATATGTTATGTAGAGGAACCATTTAAAGTTCATTAAACCTTGAAGATGAATTTTTTTTTTAAAGCAATCAATAAAAGATACATAATAATGAAAATAACTCATATGTAATGTAATCTATCTTCATTTATTTTATTTTTTTCTCAATACTAAAATACTGAGGAACCTTTTTTTTAATATACATTCACATTTAAACGGTGAAGCCTAATATAGTTTCTGAAGGCTTTTCTTCTCAAAATACTCTCATTTATGATGTCTATTTAATTTATATGGAGTGGGTACTATCCCTGATAATGATACATCAGATTTTAACCAAGTTCTTTTTTATTATTAATTAAAAAAAATTTCAATAAAAAATTTGTAGTTCTATGTGTCACAAAGATGCTAAATATTTATAAAAATCTTCATTATGAAATATTCTTTACTTAATTCGACTTAAGATATTTGAATAAAATCTTATGCACTGTAAAGCCGTATATTTGCTTATTTTTTTTTCGTTAGCATGTTAATCGCTAAAAAAATTTCAAAATTATTTATTTTTTTTCTGTAATTTTTTCATATTTCTACAAGATTAAAAGAAATTATATTGTTTAACACATCCATTATAGTTAAAAAGTATAAATTTAAATTTTAGATTAAAATTTTAAATCTGTGTACGGCTCCCAAAGAGATAAACTGTTAATACATAATAATATACTATAATAATCCCTTGTAAAAAGATAATAAAAATGGTAAAAAATACTTAAACCTAATTTAAAAAGTAACCGAGACATCGACATTTAAAATTTGTCTCCAATATGAGTGTGATATTTGACTAGCTTACAGTTATTTGACTTGCTTAAAGTTCTATTTGATCAAGAAATGAGTTTATTGCATGTACTTTAATATTTCATTATTTTTTATTGGCTATGTCAGTGCAGTTTAAATAATAACCAAATATTAATTGATAGTATTAAAACTATACGCAGTTTTAATATCGATACGGTGGAAATAAGTACGACTATTGAAACGGATATATATATATATATATATATATCATCGGTGAACGTTGACATCACTGGTCTAGTAACTAGTTTGTACTCTATATCCACGCCCTCTAGTGAACTGCGGTGCTTGTTTATTGCAGTTATACATAATTAGTTCTCTTTTTATTTGATTTTTATAAGTTGTAATGATTAATAATAATTGATAACATTCAGTCTCTTGCCAGAAAAATCTGAAATTCGCAAATTTTATGACACATTTTTTTTCAGATTTTCTTAAAGATTTAAAATTCGTAAATTTTAAACTTAAAAAACAAAAAAAAAACAAAAAAAAACTAATATGTTATTAAAATTTAATTCTTTATATCATTCTGAAATTCAAATATTTCAAATAAAATAAAACACAATTCATATATTTACAAAAAATTAATAAATAAATAAAATAAAGAACATTTTAGTAAACATTCCAAGCTAGTCAAAACATTAAATATCATATAAAACACAAGAAATTGGAAAATGATAATAATTACTGAGATATAGTCTCATTATTGCCTGTTAACGCACAATTAGTTTGCTAGTAAAAGGTTTTCTTGGTTTTCATTTGTGTGTAATGGAAATTCTAATTATTTTAATATAT